GAGGATCCAAACCCTTCCACATTCCACTGAAGCCGAGATTCTTGAAGGTCTGCCAAGGAGAGCTACCAATATCAGAATTGAGTTTAGAGACAACAGTGTCAAAAGGATGACTAACTAGTGTACAGAATATCCCAGCAATGTAGCCTGAAGTAAATGTCACTGCTAATTGTACTACTTGCTGAGGCTGTCTCAAGGACATATTTGTAAAAAAAACTCATCATAGTAAAACCAGTCAATCCTTCTGCTGCCCAGAGTTTCGGTACACCCTGGCACAGGGTCATAGGCGCCGGAACAGGGGGGGCAGAGGGGGCTAAAGCCCCCCCAGTCTTGAAACAGGAGGGGCTGAGCCCCCCCAGAAATTCTCTGCAACTGACTAACAAAGAAAATAAAACTGACTTTTATCAGTAAAATTAGACCTGCAGTCATCATCTCTTCATTTTATTTAAAGAAAAAGACAAGAAAACTACTCTAAATCCAACAATAGAAGATTAGCACCATTTTTTTGTAAAATTAGCAGCCGTTTTTGTATAAAACCACACCCATTTTAATAACTTAATTGATGTTCAGCCCCCCCAAAATAAATTTTGTTCCGCCGCCTATGCACAGGGTCAATGTTGTAGCTGGAAAGTTTTGTTTTGAAACTATCATAAGTTACAACTATTCTGTGTTAGATGTAAATGAATGTTCTGAGGGATTGTCAAATTGTAGCCAGTCATGCTTTAATACACTTGGAAGTTATAATTGTATTTGTTATGCTGGGTTTATTTTGAGCAATGATGCATGGTCACATAAGTCAAGGTAAAAATGAGAATAATAATGCAACATAAGTGTTTATTATTTCAGATATCAAATGAGTGCATGCAAGAGTACATTGAATGGAGGCTGCTCTGATTTATGTAACAACATACATGTAATTGGTAGTTTTTATTGTTCTTGTGACACTGATTACTCTTTCACCACTGATAAATATACTCTTGATATAACTGCACTGGTAATTTGTTAATAGTTGATAATGATCTAATTAAACAATTTCTTTGTGCTCTATAGATGTTGATGAATCATATGAGGCTTGATTTAAGACCAATTATGTATTCAAACTCTTGAGTTTGCTGTCATCATGGTAAACACCAATGGTTAAAAGAGCTATTATTAAGTATGGTAAGCATGATTAAAACATACACATGGGTAAACAACAGTAAACCTCATTGATAAGCATTGAAACTGTGGCAAACATTAATAAACATAGGTAAATTATAATATACAGTGGTAAACATGGGTCAGTAGTGATTTACAGTGTTAAACACAGGTAAACATAATTAAACAAAAATATACAGTGATAAACATGGGTCAATAGTGATTTACAGTGTTAGACACAGGTAAACATAATTAAACAAAAGATATACAGTGGTAAACATGGCTAAACACTGATAAACTTTGACAATACGGTGGTAAAGACTAGTAGACATAGGTACATAATGATATACAGCAAAAACATAAGTATACAGTGATATACAATGTATGCCTAATTTCCTATATATGTGTTATATATAAGACAACAATATGGGAGTCGATATCCCAAGACCAAGAATGCTTTGAATTGATATCACTCGAGGGCCGAAGGCCCAAGGGTGATATCAATTCAAAGTACCCAAGGTGGAGGGTGCATCGACCCATATTGGCCACAAAATGTAGTCCCAGACTATTATACTGCTAAGGTAAGCAATTCATGTAATTGTATTTCTGTTAATAAGCTGACCTATGCATTTGTTTTGGTTCAGCTAAAGGGTAGGCTTGGGCCAAATATTCTGGAATAATTTAAAGAATAATAGGTACAAACCAATGAAAAATAATAGGAGAATAATAGGATGCATTTTAAGAATAGTGGGAGGGAGTAGGGACTGGTTAAATTTTTAACAAAAATAGATGCAGAAGATGGGCATGTGTTGGTTTAAACATCTAGTACTGCATCTGAGAGACTTTTTATGCCTCTCAAATCTCAACAACAAACAGACTTTTTTTCATCTAACATTAGGTACAGTATAATATATAATACTATAGACACAATGTCATTTTTAACCATAAATATATGATGTTTCAACTTTATATAATTGAGAATAATATTGAGAATAATAGGTAGATATTGTAGGAATTAAGGAATAGAATAATAGGTAAAATAAAAAAGATGGCCCTAGCTTACTGAAATGCTTTGTGCTCTCACCCCATAATTTTAAGTTATTATTACAATTAATTTCATCAAAATTCTTAATAATCAACAGTTATTGTCATAATCAGTTAGTGAAGTGAACAACATTTGGTAACACTGGTTTTCGTCCCATAGCAAAGCACCTACTATTGTAATGATTTCTCTTCTTAATCATTCTGTAAAGGAAGAAGTGATTGTGTGTCCTTGGAATGGATGACAATATTCTGTGAAACCGACTCAACCAAGCAAAGGTTTGCTCACAAGCCTGCATATTATAGTTCTTGTGCACCTCTTTAAGCCTTTCAGGATTATAAAGTGCTTTGCAATTGTCACCGCAAGCATGAAGGACCTTGCTTAGATGGTACATGTGCTCATTCTAAAGCACGAAACTTTGTGAAATCATTGAAATGTGATAGTTGCAAAAAGTGGATGCACTGATTTAATAGGTAAACATACCTTTGTTTACTTATGTTTATTATTGTTTACCGCTGTCTACTTATGTATATCATTGTTTACCACTGTCTACTTATGTTTATGATTGCTTACCTATGTTTATTACTGTTTAGCATTGTTTGCCACTGTCTACTATGTTTATCACTGTTTGCCACTGTCTACTTATGTTTATCACTGTTTATCACTGTCTACCTATGTTTATCATTGTTTGCCACTGTCTACTTATGTTTATCATCGTTTACCACTGTTTATCATTGTTTACCTATGTTTATGACTGTTTATCATTTTTTATCATTGTTTACCACTGTCTACTTATGTTTATCACTGTTTATCATTGTTTACCACTGCCTACGGTATGTTTATCACAGTTTATCACTGTCTACCTATGTTTATCATTGTTTATCATTGTTTACTTATGTTTATCACCTTTTATCATTGTTTACCTATGTTTATCACGGTTTAGGATGATACAAGAGTTCTCTTCCCACACTGATGTTTACTAAATTAACAGTAAACTCTGAAGTTCGGCTAAATCATTGGTCTTAAAATCACGCCTTATCTCTGATGAATGTTTAATATCCAATGGTGGCTGTGCATATTATCAAGAGTACATGATGGCCATGTACTCTTGATGTA